TGGATTCGTCGCCCGTCCCCCGCTACGTGCACGATTCTTCAGCACACACACGGCTTGGGCACTAGAAGGGCAAAGAAAACAAATTACAAATGCCCCACCCGGGTCCCATTCCATCCATCCATCCCCAGCTCGGATCTTCCTCCCAGCTGCCGCGTGCGTGACGGTGCGGCATCAGCACCACTCCGATCCGGCGCCATTTTATAATAATAATAATCTCGCCCGCCTGATCCGATCGGATCGGCTTCCCATCTCACGCCTTCGCTTCCTTTTCTACCCCCGCGGCGCCCGCGTGTCGTCTCTCGCCATCACCGTCACCATCATCATCAATCACGGCGACCTCGCCCTCGCTGCCCGACTGGAACCGGTAATCTCGCCCCACCCGTTCGTTTGGGCTGGTTTTGACTGATAAGGCATAGCTAAATATATTGTTGGCTGATTATATGAGAAAAAAATAATATTTATTTATTAAAAAATACTTAAAAACAAACCAGATAAACGAACAGTTACGTCGTCGGCAGATAAGAACCGGACCAGAGCGTGGGCGGACGAGGGAGGCCTGGCCAGCCCCGGCAACCACCCGGCCACTCCGTCCGTGACACGCGGCGGCAGGATCCGGACTCCGGACGCCGCGGCCCTGGGAAACGCGCCGCGGGGTGGGGGCTGCATCGTCCGGCCGCGTATAGATTGATCATTGATCCCGTGGGCGGCGGACGGGACGGGCAGAAAAGCGAAGCGAGGACGTAGAGCCCCGGCGCCGGGCCGCGGATCAGGCGTCCACCTGCACGGGATGATGGATCGGGTGGCCGTACTACCGTGCCGACATCGGCGAGCCCGCCGCGGGAAAAAGGATTCCTCGGAGAGGCCTGACGCGGGCCCCGCCGCCGTCCCGTCGCTCCTACCACGGTAATTTCTATACCCGTTCTGGCCCTGCCCATCAGCAAGCGTCGTGCAGTCAGCTTGGGCCTGGTTTAGATGTCAAAAATTTTGGTAAAATGGTACTGTAGTAGTTTTTGTTGTTATTTAGTAATTAGTGTCTAATCATAGTCTAATTAGGCTTAAAAAATTCGTCTCGTGGATTTTGTCTAAACTGTGTAATTAGTTTTATTTTTTATTTATATTTAATGCTTCATGTATGCGTCCAAAGATTCGATGTGACGGGGAATCTTGAAAAATTTTGCAAAATTTTTTGCAACTAAACTGGACCTTGAACGTTTTTCCAAGGTCAAAAATTCAACTAAGCTAATGTTCGTGATACGGTGAATCTTTTTTTTTACGAGTATACGGTGAATCTTTTAACCGCTGGATCCATTTATTCCGACGGCATCGTTGCAGCTTGGGATGCTATTTGCTACGGGGTGTAGTGACGCAACGAGCATCATTGTATTGCCATGTCGATATCATGTGTAGTCGTGTAGACCAACAACATACTCCGTATGCTCGATTATAAAGCATATATATAATAATATATTGCTTGAGGAATTTGCTGGAGAAAACCTCTTCCACGAAGAGTGGACTGATTAGGTCAAAGTGAAAGAGGTAAACATGTACTAGGTCAGGATGGGATACCTGTGGTGAGGTTCATGATCACCCAACTCGAGAGCATGTAAGAGCATCTTTAATACTTCCTTCATTTTAAATTATAAGTTAATCGTTTTTGCTTTTCGATATATATATAGTTTTTACTATGCATCTAGTTATAGGCTATGTCTAGATACATAACGTTATATATCTAAAAAAAGGTGAAAACGATTTCTAATTTAGAAATGTTATAGAGTAACATCTAAAAAAATGAGTACTAGAAATCTGGTTTTGTAAACCTTTCTAAAAAAATATTGGGTAAGAAAAAATACATTGCACCGACGGTTCCTTTTTGTATGTCCTAAAGCAGTTTACCACGGACAAAATAATTCGCCCGAAAGTTAGAATAATAAACTATTGGAGTGGAATTTCTTTCCATCATGCCAAGCAAAAAGATCAAGAGTGGATTTACCAAACTGTTAGAGTTTCCTCTAATAGTGCAAACGTGTATAAGAAGAACAAGATGTTAGGTCCTTTCACCATCTACTGCGAGGTCGAACCAATTATGTAGCCTTTTTAGTGTCCTTTCTTTTTTAATTAACCTGTGTTTCAAACTTATTGTTTTGTTCCATCATGTCTTTGGGAACAAGAGAAAGGCATTGTATATTACGGTGTCACTTTAATTCGTTTTGGTACTTAGACTAGTAATTATTGAAGATATAATTTCAACGTGGAAAGTATACAAATTAGCACTTTATACAAAATCTTACTTCACCGTACATGCCAAAAACCCTTGATTACTTTACGGAGTTAGAAAAATGCCTTTTTAAAAGGCGAGTTAAAAAATTATTGCAAAGAATAGAAAAAGGTAGTTGTTTAACATAAAAAAATAACAACAAATTTTGTAAGAAAAGACTTCTAAACAGACTAGGGCTAATCTATCGAAGCTCAACTCCTCCATCCTTCAGATCTGTTGAAAAGGGTATCCCTCCCTTTCGATCACTTATTAGGGACGCAAGGCATGTTGTCCGTAAACCCGCAAATATGCTACAATTTTGCCGGTTAATTGCAACCCCGCAAAAAATTAAGCCTAGTTGTGGGTTCGTGGATCCTTTCACTGATTATTCCTACTAGAAGTCTGTGAACATGGCTGTCATACAAGTCTATAGTGGGAATGAAGCGATGGTGAAGCTCAACATCTAGATTCACCCAATGTGGTACATTGTATTCCCCTTCACACTAGAAGTTTGGGGACACATGTATTCCACACATCCTTTAGTAGTAGCGAAGCCAAGCCTTGGGGCATGAATTCATCAATTCAATCCTTGGTGGCATATGTACCGAGTGCTCCCTCCGTGTCTTGAAAAGAATACGATTACATCGTTATTCTAAAAATAATTCAACTTTAGTTACGATTAGGTATGAAATCCTTACAAAAGATGTGCTAGTTTGAGGCAATAAATAGAATTTATAGGTGTAACTATTTGCTTTTGTTCAACCATCACACGTGAAGAATGAAAAACAACAGAGGTATACTTTTTTGTTGTTGTTGTGTGCATATTCCTTCATGACATGTGATAATTGTATCTTTTTTAGACTGATGGAGTGATTATTACCTCTCAAGGAATTAGGAATGAATAGTAACTTCTTCGCAACGCTGCGTGCATATTTTGACTCTACTGATGATCCAAAGCGTGGCGGAGTGGTATAATAATAGGAGTGAAAAAGAAAGAGCATGTGGTAAATATGGTTACAGTACACGTACCAAGTACAATAATGCATGTGGCAGGCACCCGGAGGGCACCGTCGTACGACGACGACAGAGGATTCGAGTCCATTTTGACGCGGCAGCGCCCCACACGCCCAGCCCAGGCCAGGCCGTACGGTAAAAAAGAGCGAAGGGTGTTTGTTGTAAAAATTTATGTCAGAATAATTAGATATTAATAAAAAAATATTAAATATAAATTAATTATAAAACTAATTAAGCCTAATAAATCTGTCTACTCTCGCTGCTGCCGCCCCACTTTGCGCTGCCGCCGCTGCTGCCTTCTCTCCGTTCGATTCCCCGCGGCCTCTCCCCCTCTCTCTCTCTCTCACACACGCCTTCCTTCCAGCGCCGCAACCACGCCATCGGGGCGGGCAGCCCATTCCTCTTCCTCCTCTCCACTTCACCCCTAACCTCCGCCGCTCGATTCCCGCACTACTCAGCTGGGCAGGGAAGGGATATTTTCTGCTCTAGCCCTATTTTTTATTGAGTCTGTCTATCCAACAACCTTGTGTTGTATGCAGTTTCAACACATAAATTTTTTTCACCATAGAATTAAAATCCAACAACCTCCAGACAATCACAAATCACAAGATCACAGATCCACAGATCATAAGAAATAATTTTTTTCTATGCAAGAAAAAAAAAACAAATCGGAAACACGTTCTTCTCCATCGGTGGATAGCAGGCACCGGCCGGTCGAAATGTATACCAACAACACATGTGTCCGTCCAGCACATGCGGCCAGTCGAAACGTATACCAACACATGCGTCCATCCAGCGACCCGTGATCGCTGCTCAGAACGGACCGGGAAGCCAAAACGAGGCTGCATATGACGGCGAAGGCACGCCGCCGCACTACAGCCAACATTAAAAAAAATCAATGTGTTTTTATTTGCTAAAACATATGTGTGTTGTATAGCATTTTTATTTTTTATTTTGTTTTCTCGAGACGAGATCTGTGGAACAGCGGAGACGACGCGTGCGTGCAGGGAGCCCGGTTGGATTCGTCGCCCGTCCCCCGCTAGGTGCACGATTCTTCAGCGCACACACGGCTTGGGCACCGGAAGCGCAAAGAAAACAAATTACAAATGCCCCACCCGGGTCCCATTCCATCCATCCATCCCCAGCTCGGATCTTCCTCCCAGCTGCCGCGTGCGTGACGGTGCGGCACCAGCACCACTCCGTCCATTTTATAATAATAATAATCTCGCCCGCCTGATCCGATCGGATCGGCTTCCCATCTCACGCCTTCGCTTCCTTTTCTACCCCCGCGGCGCCCGCGTATGGTCTCTCGCCATCACCGTCACCATCATCATCAATCACGGCGACCTCGCCCTCGCTGCCCGACTGGAACCGGTAATCCAATGGCTAATGCCCTCCCTTAACCCTCTCGCTATCCTCTAACCAGTGCTGCTTAAGCCTCGCTCAGATCCGCCCCGCTCCCCACCCCTCTCCCCCTGTTGGCCGTTGCTCTGCTCTGCTCTCCTCGGCCGGGAAAGGTGGAGGCAGGCAGCCGTTGCTCGGTTGCCGGTTGGCTGGCGCCGCTGCCGTCTTTCCGTTCGTTTGTTTCGCGGTTGCGTGGGCTCGATCATCTGCGCGCGGCCTCTTTACTTGTCCCTAGTGTACTGCCCTGTTGCTCATGCTCTTCCGCTTCCGCTTCCGCAGGACGCTGCTGCTAGGCTGACAGCGAGGAGGAGGAGGAGACGAGGGAGCCATGGCTCAGATCTTGCTCCACGGCACGCTCCACGCCACCATCTTCGAGGCCGAGTCGCTCTCCAACCCGCACCGCGCCAGCGGCGGCGCCCCCAAGTTCATCCGCAAGGTACTTCCTCAGTCTCCCCTTCTCCCTTCTTCCGTTCCACCCATGCTAGCCTGCAACAGTCGCGCCAACTCGCGATGAGTGATGTGGTTAGTAGAGAGACAGATCAATCAACGAATAATTCATGAATGGCGGCACTGTCTGCCTCCAGATTAGGCTCTACTATTGATTGCTTCATCATTAACTGCCTGTTCTACGTAATTTTGCTCCAGAGAACTTTCCTGCACTCAATAGTTCCCTTCGATCAGTCTATGTTAGGCTCGTCTCGAAGTATGCCCGCCTCTCGTTTCACCGGATTCGTCTCTTGCTCTGCTAACACGACATGTTCGTTTCGTTTCAACAGCTTGTGGAAGGGATTGAGGATACCGTGGGTGTCGGCAAGGGCAGCACCAAGATATATGCCACCATTGATCTGGAGAAGGCCCGCGTCGGGCGTACACGTATGATCTCCAACGAGCCCATCAATCCTCGTTGGTACGAGTCCTTCCACATCTACTGCGCGCACATGGCTGCCGACGTCATCTTCACCGTCAAGATCGACAACCCCATTGGGGCGTCGCTCATCGGGAGGGCGTACTTGCCTGTCACGGACCTCCTGGACGGAGAGGAGATCGACAAGTGGCTTGAAATCTGTGATGAGAACCGCAAGCCTATTGGAGACAGCAAGATCCATGTGAAGCTTCAGTACTTTGATGTTTTCAAGGACCGCAATTGGGCGAGGGGTGTCCGGAGCACCAAGTACCCTGGTGTTCCTTACACCTTCTTCTCGCAGAGACAGGGTTGTAAGGTTACCCTGTACCAGGACGCTCATGTCCCGGACAACTTCGTTCCCAGGATCCCGCTTGCTGATGGCAAGAACTATGAGCCACACAGGTGCTGGGAGGATATCTTTGATGCCATAAGCAAGGCCCAGCATTTGATTTACATCACTGGCTGGTCCGTGTACACCGAGATCACCTTGGTTAGGGACACCAACAGGCCGAAACCTGGTGGTGATGTTACTCTTGGGGAGTTGCTCAAGAGGAAGGCCAGTGAAGGTGTCCGGGTCCTTATGCTAGTGTGGGATGATAGGACTTCAGTCGGCCTGCTTAAGAAGGATGGCTTGATGGCTACCCATGATGAGGAGACTGCAAATTACTTCCATGGCACGAACGTCAACTGTGTTCTGTGCCCTCGCAACCCTGATGATTCTGGCAGCTTTGTTCAGGATCTGCAGATATCAACTATGTTCACACACCATCAGAAGATAGTAGTGGTTGACCATGAGCTGCCAAACCAGGGCTCCCAGCAAAGGAGGATAGTCAGCTTCATTGGTGGCATTGACCTTTGTGATGGAAGATATGATACCCAGTACCACTCCTTGTTTAGGACACTTGACACCGTCCATCATGATGACTTCCACCAGCCAAACTTTGAGGGTGGATCAATCAAGAAAGGTGGTCCAAGAGAGCCATGGCATGATATTCATTCACGGCTGGAAGGGCCAATTGCTTGGGATGTTCTTTACAACTTTGAGCAGAGATGGAGGAAGCAGGGTGGTAAGGACCTCCTTGTACGTCTCAGGGATCTTTCTGACATTATTATTCCCCCTTCTCCTGTGATGTTCCCGGAGGACAAAGAAACATGGAATGTTCAGCTCTTCAGATCCATTGATGGTGGTGCTGCTTTTGGCTTCCCTGAGACTCCTGAGGAAGCTGCAAGAGCTGGGCTTGTGAGTGGAAAGGATCAAATCATCGACCGGAGTATCCAGGATGCATACATAAATGCCATCCGGAGGGCTTAAGAATTTCATCTACATTGAGAATCAGTACTTCCTTGAAGTTCATATGGCTGGAAGCCCGAAGGCATCAAGCCAGAAGAAATTGGTGCTCTTCACTTGATTCCGAAGGAGCTCTCATTGAAGATTGTCAGCAAGATTGAAGCTGGGGAACGGTTTACTGTTTATGTTGTGGTGCCAATGTGGCCTGAGGGTGTTCCAGAAAGTGCTTCTGTTCAGGCAATCCTTGACTGGCAAAGGAGAACAATGGAGATGATGTACACTGACATCACACAAGCTCTCCAAGCCAAGGGAATCGAAGCAAACCCCAAGGAATATCTGACTTTCTTCTGCTTAGGTAACCGCGAGGTGAAGCAGGAGGGAGAATATGAACCCGAGGAACACCCAGAACCTGACACTGATTACATCCGGGCTCAAGAGGCTAGGAGGTTTATGATCTATGTTCATACCAAAATGATGATAGGTAATGAATCAGTTGTGCTTTGCCCTCGTATTGCACTATATTTCATTTTTAAGTTTACTGAATTTTTTTAACGCGGTTAGGTTAACTGATATGGAACATATATTTTATACGGTCACACCTAGAGCATATTTTCTTTAGCTACAAAGCATGCATTTCTGCTTTACCTGTATTTGAAGCAAGGGAAGGGATCACTTTAAGTTAGAATTATAACTATTTTAGAGAGCAGTAGAATCAACTTAACGCATAAATAAAGTATATCAGGAAGAAATTGTCCTATGCTATTATAATGCTGCTTTGTTCAAAGATTTGATGCTCTTTTGGAATGAAACCAAGGGGTATAGTTGGTTTCTCTTGATAGCAAAGCATTGGGCACCCTGCTTACATTGTTTTCTTTTCTTGGCTTCAGAGGTGTCAGATTTTCTGTTCATGATAGTAACCTCTATATAGCCATGCATTACACTATATATGGCAGTAGTTTTTCTAATAGACCACATATCTTTTATTTATCAAAATTTAGGAGCATGGTTGATGTTGTGAAACTTACTCTTCTGATGTGCATATGTTTGGAGCAACATGTTTTCTTAGTTAAAAGCATAACTATGCTGGACAGGAAAGACATCAATATAAAGCAACAAATTTTATGGGGAAGAACTGTCCTATATAATTCACTTTTTAAAAGGAATTAACATTCTTTTCGATTGAGTAAAAATAATTCAAGGTATACAGTTAATTACTCTTGGTAGCAAAATGTTGAACAGCCGAATTCCTGCTTGAATTTCTCTCTTGCTTGGCCTGAAAGGCGTCCATTTGTTGATGAAGATGGAACATTTTTTGTTTGATTTCAGTGGATGACGAGTACATCATCATTGGGTCTGCCAACATCAACCAGAGGTCCATGGACGGTGCCAGGGACTCTGAAATCGCCATGGGCGCGTACCAGCCATACCACCTGGCGACCAGGCAGCCTGCCCGTGGCCAGATCCACGGCTTTCGGATGTCTCTGTGGTACGAGCACCTGGGAATGCTGGATGATGTCTTCCAGCGCCCCGAGAGCGTGGAGTGTGTGCAGAAGGTGAACAGGATTGCCGAGAAGTATTGGGATCTGTACTCGAGCGATGACCTGGAGCAGGATCTCCCAGGCCACCTCCTCAGCTACCCGATCGGTGTCACTGGTGACGGCACTGTTACTGAGTTGCCAGGGATGGAGAACTTCCCCGACACCCGTGCCCGCGTCCTCGGCAACAAGTCGGATTACCTCCCGCCCATCCTCACCACATAGAGTGCAGACCACAGGTAGCGCCATGGCTTCTCTCCTGTCTGGACTCAGCTTTGGTGTCCCTGTGTTTGTGTTTGAGACACTGAAGGTTCAGATAGCGGTGTTGTTATTATAGTTATTGAGTGATAATAAGTGCATTGTGCATGGTGGGACGATAGGAGTTAGTTGTTTATTACTACTAAGTACCTGCATCCAGATCGTGTTGTCCCTTGTCTGGTGTAGCTTGCTACGTTGCAGTGCCGTTTGTAAGAGGCGACTTCAGAGTTTCAGAACTAAAACATGATTGATTGTTCAAGTGTGCTGCTAAATGTCAAATTGTCGATGTGATGCTAGTACAACAATATGGATAATCTCTCATCTATCAAAGACCTTTAATCGTGGTAAAATTCTCCTGTTGCTCAACAGATCCCACGCCCTATAGCCCCCACACGCATGTCTCCCACTCCCAATCTCTCACAGGCCACAGCATAACAACCGTAGTGCCCCCACACGCATGTCTCCCGCTCCCAATCTCCAACAGTATAACAACCGAAAATACAAGCTTTATGCCTTTATTCCCTGAGAAGAAAGGTGCAGTCAAAGCCTCATTCTCATTTTCTGTCACTAGATCATTAATATCCCAGAAACTTTGACTCAAGGCTAAACCTTCAGTCTTCTCTGCAGCAAAGAGATTTATGACTAATCTCATCATATCAGTTTGATCATGCACCTGACCACTAGGACCCTCCAAAAAATCTATATTCTTCTTTCTACTTCTATATATGGTTTGCTTTTGCTATAGCTTGAAAAAAGCATTATTCGGTTCACCCTCTAAGATGTTCCTATCTCTAGATCTTTTTCTGGTCTTAATATCCTCTAGAACCTAGATCTTACTTAGCCTAGATATCTTCATGTTATATCTTTTTTTTTTCACACTGGCCCATCCAGGGTCAAAGCTGCGCCTATGTTATATCTTTTTTGCACACTGGCCCATCCACTGTCAAGCGGTGTCTGCCTTTCAATTTTACTAGGACATAATATAGGTGCTTAACTTTGCTCCTAACCTTTATCGTCTTAAGCAAGTCACAAAAATAAACAAAAAAACTTTATCGTCTTACCTACACTCCATTCTGGGCCGCGTCATGGGACAACCACGCAATACATAGGCTTCTTCAGCTCAGTGATCTAAAGATATGATTTGGTGTGGCCACGGCGCGGCCTCAGGGTGGCCACGTCACCGGCTTTTCGCGGCCGTTCGATCGGCCGCGCGGACGGCTCAGATCGGGCGAGCCGCGGTCGTTTTACGAAAAACCCCTTTAAGTTTTCGGAAATCAACCCGTGCTCCAGACGTCTTCTCAGAATTTTTTTATAAAAAACGCCTCTATAAAAAACGCCTCGTATTATTTCCAAATCAACGCTCAGTCCAGACCGGATGGGTACTGGTTTGTTTGCAAAAAAGACCTCCACTTTATCGAAAATCAACTCGCGCTCCCCAGACACTCTCACCGTTTTTTGCGAAAACATTCTCAGATTTTTCTCAAATCAAAATACAGCCCAACTTTGATTATATCTTTTTTTTCTCCAAAAAATACGTGTGGCCAGTGGACCGTGCGCATGGGCGCGCCCGAAAAACTAGTAGATAAGAGACGCTACGCACCATGCAGTAAGCGTGATTCCTTAACTAAAAGAACATTTTCATGTGTTCTGTTTAAAGACGCAAAGCATCTATTTTTACCCTAAATGCAGGGTGTGTTGTGAATAAAGATTAAGGAACAACTTAGGCTCTGCAACCAGCACAATCATTGGCCAGATTGGAGGCCCAAAGAGCAATGTGTGATTTATTTGAAAACCGAGCTCCGTAAGAAGTGTCAACAGAGAGATGATCTGGAGAGGCAGATAGAGCCAAAGATTTGTCGAGGAAAGGCACATCACGAGTCCAAAGTATCCCTCAGCAAGAAGGCTGAGGAGCAGCCCTCTCACTCAGGAGCTCCGAGTTCTGGAGGAAGATCACTAGATCAGAGAAGTTCAGATGGACACATAGGAGAAGAAGAAATTGGAACAGGAACTTCAACTAACCATAAATGATAAATGAACTAGTATATTCACGGTGATAATTAAGCTTCTCAAGGAGGTCATTTTCCACTCAACAGAACACTCGTGATACTGACAGAGGCAGAACATTAGTGCAGGAGAAAGCTAGAAGAGTTCGCGATCAAAGAACGGCAACTTGCATGAGAAGGGGCATAAAGGAAACCAGGAGGGTGAAGAAGGCTAATATAAAAAGCAACCATGCATAAGTGGTACAAAAGGGTCCAAAACTAAAACGCCCAATAGAGCAATTGGCATATGGCATGTACAGAAATAGAACCCCCAGATATTCGACAGATCAGCAAATGGTACTGCAAAACAGTGAAGCACTTCGTTTTCTTTTGAGGAAAGACTGAAAGAGTGAAGCACTTAATCACCGAGGTGTCGGCAAACCTTAGGCCTTGGCCAGCTGCCTATCTACATCTAACGAGCTTTATTTAGGTCATGGACCGTGGACCAAAAATACTACTATATGATATCACTAATACACATGGTTTTTACACTTAGGGCCTGTTTGATTCTTAGAATTGAATTCATTCTAATAATTATAATTTAGGCATAGATTAATTAAGCTAATATAGTTGTATATGGAATATATTTGTATATTTATTGTTACGCATACAAGGGGTATATTTATATGTTGCATTTCTATCGTAAGGAAGTGAGTTGGAGGGGCATATTTATATATTGCATTTCTATCGTAAGAAAGTGAGTTGAAGAATGTGCTATAAGTTGGAGAATAGAATATAATTATTATATAGTGATCTATAGAATCCATTTCCATCTCTCACCCTATGAATTTGAGATAGACTTATTTGTAAGCTTGGTAAAGTTATGGAATGTCAAATTCTAAGTCAAATAGCCTAATCTATTATGTAGATTCCAATTCTCTAAAATAAAGAGATCCAAACGGCCCCTTATGTTTCTTTAAAGTTACTGTCAGTACAAATCCTAGACTTAAACTGCTAGTTGATTTACACTGACGGTAGGCATAGCTTGTAACCTTAGGAAATCTGCTAGTAGAGATGTATCTTCACTGTTAATTTATAGCCATGCGTCCATAGTTCCAGTTCTACTAGCGCATATTTTTTACGAACCACCAGTGAAAAAAATCTCTAGTATAGATAAAAACCGTTTCTGTACTAGTTTATGTTACCTCTATCAGAAAATAGAAGATATAACTCTAGACTTAATTCAATGTCAAACTAACTTCTGTATTGGGAATAAAAGCATAGCATAGTCGATTTTTGCTTTAACAACTCGGGGAGCAAGAGCAACGGATGGAAATAGGGAGGGGGAAAAGCAAATGGGCCTACGACGCTGGACGTGCGCTACTTTGGCCAGTCCACATCAGGCCTTCTCAATTGTGCGGCGCGAAGCTGGTATAAGCCAATAGCAACTCGTAAGCGGGGCACGGATTTCAGCCTGCTACTCTGCGGGGCCCACCAAAGGCAGCTCAAGGGCCACTGTGGAAAGTTGGTTGCCGAATTTGAACAGCGCGCGCGTTGCCGAATCCGAAGGCGTATCGCACGCTGGTTGGCGACGGCCGACGGGACGGACGGCCGACGGCCGTGCAGGCGCGGGACCACCCACGGAATCAACGGCCAATAATCACAGCTTTAATCGATGAGCGCCCCACTATTCTACTCTTTGCCCAGGTTAACCTCGACATCATCCCTATCTGCGCTTACTTTAATCAGCACACATATACGTGTGTGTGGGGACACGCGACGAACACGACGCCACTAGCGCACGATCGATCAGATTGGAGATCGATGGGCTGCTCCGCGTATTTTGTTGGAGTTGGGCGTTGCTTCGGTTCAAAGGAAGCAACTCGTTGCTAGAGAGAGTGAAGAAAACCGAAGTTGCTTATTACTCTGCTCGCTCTGTTTTAAATTATAAGACGTTTTGTCTTTTCAAGATACATATTTTTTTATACATTTAGATATACAACATGTCTAGGTACCTAGTACGGGTAGGGTCAACGTAGACCAACATGCATTTATATAGATATAAAAAGTTTAGAGATTTCAAGTTCGCAACACAGGCTGTTACTGCCTATTAAATAGTGGCCCCACTATTCCTTTTTTCAATAACTCTTGGCCCTGATAAAAGGAGCGGCAGACCTTCAACATTTGATTTTCAATGCGTGCTCTGGTGGTAGCTTCTCTCTTTTGTCAGAACAAACTACTGCATCTTCTGCAGGCAACATTGGCGCCCTGCGGAACCACTATCCGAAACGATGTGTAGGCTACTTATAACGTGGAAGCTTGGGCATATAGCCACACATGTAACCTTGGGGACAGGTAATAGTAATGTATCTAGAAAAATAAAAACGTATTATAATTTGAACGTATGAGTACTTATTGTCGTCTTTCCAAACCTTGTGGATAATCTTCTCACGATGGAACACACACAAAAGATGAGAGTTAACTATATTATCACCTCCAAATGAACTTTAACTAAAGATGTGCACGAATGATGGGGAATTAATAATAAGCAGGAAACATACAACCTGTATAAATAAGAACATGATGATTAATATGGGTGCAGTTGTCGGAGACCAATACTAAGGTACCCGAAGAGGAGGGGCTAATAGTCATCAACATTAATCCATTCGAACAGTCAAGGGCGTGACTACGGCTCCAACTGACCCCAGGTGCGCGGGCTCCGCCTCGACCGACCTCTAGGGAGCCTCTGGGGGAGGACTCCGCCTCGCCCGACCCTAAGGCCGCGGGCTCCGCCTCGCCCGACCCTCGGGTTTGCGCTCCGCTCGCCCGACCCCGAGGCCACGGGCTCCGCCTCCATCGACCCTCGGGTTTGCGCTCCGCTTGCCCGACCCCGAGGTCGCGGGCTCCGTCTCGCCCGACCCTCGGGTTTGCGCTCCGCCTCGCCCGGCCTCTGGATGCGGGCTCCGCTCGCCCGACCCTGAGGCT